TAATCTTATTTATTTGTTACATTTCAATGAAGATTGTAATTCACGGTTTGAAGGAAATAAATGTTGTTGTTTTTTTTTTTGTTTTTTTTTGAAAATTGAAAAATTAGCTGATATAACGACACTAACCCGCCATACTCCATACACAGAACGTTTCTTCTTTTGTCATCAAAATAGACCAACACAGAGATGTATAATAATTGTGATATTACGCTAGGGGATTCCCCTGAAATTTTGTGAGATTGAATAATAATAAAATAGAAATGTGTTAGCTCTATCTAGTAACACCAATTATCATGTTATGATTGAGAGAGTGCACGCTCAACCATGGAGGAAATATATTAATATATTTCCTCCATGGCTCAACCGAATAAATTGTGGAGATGAACACGTAAACTTGGTCCTAGGCCAAAATCACTCGATGCTCTTTATGTTTCTGACGGAGGCCAGTAATTCAAATACACAGTAGTACACTATTTGGAAAAGAGCAGGGGATTTTTCCATGGTACACTGCACAATACCAGCAGAAAGACCCACTACAAACATGTCTTTGGATTATCATCTTGAAAAGAGGGAAATACTGTACTGTAAAATACCGTAGATAAGCTCATTAAAATGTTACAATTTATAGCTCAAGCCGAGAATTAGTAGTAGGCCTACAGTTCACTTTTAATATACAAAATGACTTCACGATTAAAACAGTAAAGATAGAGATTAGATATAGGAACTACTCTGCAGCCTTTACTCCATTACACACTCGGGTTTTCAGTAGTTCATTCGTTTCCAACGCGTTCTCGTAACTTTGTAAAATTACTTCTTAAAAAATGTTTGGCCATTTTGCTGTTAATATGTAGCTGGAAGAATGAAAAAGTGTAGATTTTAGATATTAAAGAGAGGAGTGACGATGTCGTTCAACAATAGACGTTTACATTGATTATTGAACTCAGTGTTGTCATGGAAGCATTTTAACAAACGCGCAGTTACTAAGTAACATGTTCGTATAAAGTTTTTTGTTTTATTATTCATTTTTTAATTTATTTTTATTTTATTATTATTTTTGGGGGCGCGAATGTGAAGTGGGGGGGGGGCTCGATGATCAGTTGAGGGGCGCTAATTTGCAAAAAAATATGGTGATTTTAGGCATGGGCATCGATCGGTGGGGGACAGGGGGCACCTCCCCCCACTTTTCAAAGTAGGGGGTACATCACATCAATTGTCCCCCCCCCCACTTTTTACCAATCTTCTATAGTTAAAATCCCACTTTTCAAAGCGAGTGGAAAGAACAACACAATTACGAATGCCTGTTATGAATTTTGTCTATTCACTTGTGCTCTGTTCCAAGTGCGGTGCGTATTTCCAGACCAACATTAAGTAAAAACGCAATTATTTGTACATTTCGTAACCATCTCAGTAACCACTCCATCGATTTCATGGGTGCAACGGTTATCAGAGGCTCTATTAAACAATTATTTTATACAGCCTTTGACACGGATGGGTCTGTCTATTTCAAATTATTTAAGTAAATCACATTTTATGTTTGTGAAATAAAAATGCTAACTGATGTTTTGTGTGCATCCAATCTCTTTAGTCCTGTTTGATCGTAAGTTAGACGACAGTATTTCCACTCACAATAGTACTACTTGCACAAAAGCGAAATTCAAAAAGAGAAGAAAAGGAAAAACTTGATTGATTTTAAATGTACCGTACAAAAAGACTATTTCTAACTTTATTAATTTTGCAATTTAAAAACAACTATTTGATTCATGAAAATTGACCAACAAAATTTACGATTTTTATAAATATTCATGTTCTTATAATAACATTAAACTGTGATTTTGACAATGTTGGACTAAGGTGCACAAAATTAAAATTTAAGTAAATATACAGAAATTTATTTATTTTTTTCTGCGAAGTGAGTCTTATGAACCCCCGGACACCATCGGATTTTGAAAGTACTGTACATGCAAAGAGGGGTTCTTAACTCCATGGCGGCATGCGGTCATCTCCGGTCCTCGAGAAAAAGCCAAAAATAATACTGCCCTGCTCTGAGAAAAGGCATTAAGTAACAAAATCATAGTTTTGAGTAAATTAGCAAAACGCGTTTGAGCTTTTCCCAAGAAAAGTACAAATGATTTCAAATTTGTTAAACTATGGTTTGCTTAGATATATTATTAAAAAAATTGCCACATACTTTTCATTGATTAATTTTATTATTAAGGGGGCCAAAATGGAGATAATGCCTTTTTTCAGAGTATTTATAACTATGAATATAGATAAATACTTTTGAAATCGGGCATTATCTGCAAAAGTGTTTATAAACATGCATTAATTATTAATTTATTGAAATGTATGTATATGAAATTCAATCTATAGATTTATAACATATATTTTATGAAAATCTTGCTCCAAAAACAGAGTGAAAACTAATATTTAAAAATATTAAAATAGTTGAAACCGCAAAGTCTTCTATTTAATTTTTAAAAACCGAAGTATATGTATGAAATCCAAAGGTTAGTGTAAAAATTGAAGGCTAGTATACTCTGACATTATAAAATAAGGAATTTGATTGTGTACACAGGAAAATGCGCAGAGGGGAGGGGGAAGGAGCCGGTATTGTGAGGGGGGCGGTGAGGTAAGATAGAGTGAAATTATTTTAAACGTATTTTATTTATGGTTTGGTAACTAGCATGCCATCGTATTTTTAAATCTCTTCATCCTCCTAATTATCATCATCCACACCATCATCATCATCATCATAATCATTACCATTATCGATCGATAATTAGAATAGGCCTATCATAATAATTAAATCGATCGACTAATAATAAAATAGACAAAGCATTATAATTTCAAATTTAAAGTTTATTGATAACTTGTTAATTAACAATAACATGTAGAAAAATATATATAAAAATGGTGTGCTAATCTTAAATATAAGATTAATTAATTTATATTTATTAAGTTATAATATACATTGCAACTATTATCTTTACAATGGTAATGATACAATACAACATAGGTTATACAAATGAGTGCATAACATTTTAAAAGTTTTATTACAATGGTCCGACTTGTAAAAAAATAGTTATTTACACTTTTTCTTTCACAATTGCATTACTCAATGTCCCTTCCTCGAAGTGGAGCACAATCTCGGTGGAGAAAATTGTGTCTGTCCATTTTTGGTTTACCACTTGGTTGCCTGAAAGAGTAATAATAATGATGATAGTAACAATAACATTGATAGTAATAATAATAAATAATAATAATAATAATAATAATAATAATAATAATAAAAATATTATTATTATTATTATTAATAATAAACACAATACAAAACATAAAATGTCGATAAAACAAAAAATAATACTACTAAATAATAATAATCTAAATTTAATACTTAATAGGTATGAAACATAATAAAATACAATATTGTACTTACTCTTCCAAAAGACTTCTAAAAAAGGTCTTGCGCTCTAACTTGCATCATTTCGGCAAAAGTATCTCATTAATCACAGAATTATAAATAAACGCCGTAAAATATAAAGCAGATAATGCACTTTCTCAGAGTATTTTTCGAAATAAAGCAGTTACTAACTAGGCATTATTCGCTAAGGATTCCAAGCTAATTAGTTAGATATTCATTATACTAGCATCTGATTGGTTACTTACTATCTGTCTTGCGTGAAGTCAAGCGTTCAATGCA